GAATGTCTACACTGCTCTTTTTAGCCTCATAGTACAAGTTCCATGAGCCCAAGTCAGTTGACACAGGCTTTGAGACTTGCTACCATGGTTTTTTTTTTTTTTTTTTTTTTTTTTTTTTTGGGTGGACATTCCCTCAATAGCTACATGCTCATATTTGCAAATAGTCCATATTTAAATCTGACAGTGTAAAAATTCGGCTGGTGGACACAGTGACCCTGTTTTATAGAGCTGCATTGTAGGAACTAGCTCCTCTTGCTTTGATGCCGGTTTAAGAATTGGAAAATGTAAGTCAACTGTTGACGATTAAGTGAAAAATGTTACTTCTAATTATTAGACAAATATTAAGATAAAATAGAAACTGCTTTCCAGTCTGATATTAGGCCCCACATTATGTTACCTACGTTCAAATATTGCTGCATTCATCAAATAGGTCAGAATTTTAATCTTTGTCTAAAACTAAAGGTTTTCAGATCTAGGAAGCTGAAGTTAGCCTCTTCAAATATATACTTTTGGCATCTGCATAGAACTGGATGAATTTTTCAAGGATGCTGATTATCTGTTGCATCTCTTAATGTCTTTAGTAAATGTGGTTTTCAATGTATATTGTATACAATACCTTTGAGAGTTTCAGTGGTATGCTCTGCAAAATAGATGCAGCTTTCTTTTGATGTCTTTCATTCTATCATTTAAACTTGTAAAAAAAAATCATTTTTGCCTCTAGCAACCACACATTGATATGAGTATAGTCCTTATACTTTGAATAAAAAATAACTGTGATACTGTTGGCAAATGGGGATATTTAATGATAACCTCTGTGGGTTTGTGCATGTGAGATGTACTTCACACAGTTATACTTGACAGAATTACACAGGATCTTTTTCGAGGGCATAAGGCAAAATGCTACGTTTATTGATAATATCACATTATTCTGGAATATGCATATAGTATACTATACCCACGTGTTCGTTCTCTCTCTCACTCACACACACACACATTCTCACACACACATCATGTTGCTGTTTACACACGCACCTGTCTTGTTGTTGTTTATAGTCACTAGTCTGTTGCTCACATTAACTCACTAGCCAGGCGAGTTAAATGGGAAGGAGAGAAGAGCAGGGCTTCTTTCACTCTGGACTGATTCTTTGAAACCCAAATATTAGAAGTTAATCCTTCTGCTTCTTTTTCTACATCAAATCACAACATTGGAATACTGTATTCACTTTATCTTCGTGAACTTTGAAACTCACTTCAAGATTAGTGTTTATGATGTACATAAAAATGCAGCAATAAGCTATAGCAGTTTAAATGACATGACTTACATGAACTATGTCATCCATAAAGCCCAAATCTCCTCTGATAAACTTTCCCACACTGGGACAGAAGGCACCCAATATTTGATGATTGGGAAGGAAATGTATAATGATTCTTTTTTCATAGTACTCACCTGAAGATGACTCAGTTCAGTTTTGAAGTCATTTATAATGCCAAGGTAGCTGATACTGTACAGGAGTAAGGATAATTTCATTCTTGCCTTCATGCTTAGGTTGGCATTTTCAAAGCAGTCCAAGAGAGTTAAGTACCTAAATCGTATCGAATTTCACTGGGATTTGAACACTTAACTCTCTTGGGCTTCTTTGAAAATCGAGGCCTTAATAATCTCCTCAAAACTATTCCTTTACATCCCACTGTCTCCTTCTTTTTAGGACTCAACGGTGAATGAATATTTTTAGGAAGGCTGAAAAAATGTTTACAGTATTTTTAAAAAAATTCCCTCAGTGTGATTTTTCACTGGTATTCAGTCTGAGAGGGGAAAATTGTACTGCTCTGACTTGCTAGCATTCTGTCCTTCTGGTCTCCTACCGAGATTTCTTGGTCCATTTTCTTATTTTCAAGTAGTCTGTTCATCTTTAAATAAAACGTTAGTAAGGAAGAGATTTAGTCTATATAAATAAGCGCCTTTTGGGTTGTATTGTTTATCTTAAGCAAATCACAGTGTTTGGATTTAGAGATTCCTATTTAGCTCATTCAGTATATAGTCCTTGACAAGAAATGTGGGTTTTGCCACTGGGATGCTCTCCTCAGGACACTCAGAACTACAAGCCAATGTATTACCTCTGCCTCACCAGGCATAATAAGCTTTGCTGGAGCTTAAACTGTGTGTGTCAACTCTCTGCCACATCACTACTGTCAGCTTTGCCGTCAAATTCCTCCAGCTCTGACAGCCTTAACTTTGCTTTTCAGGTAACAATAAGTAAACCCCGGTTCCTCAGAAATGTCTGTTGGTAGTGTCCAGTCCCTCTCATCTCATTGTGGCACTCACTGAAATTGAGTTCATTCTCTTCAAAAAGAGTGTGAACACAAGTCTGTTGGTATAACAGAGGATTCACTCTCTTTATTTCAATATAACAGCACTGGGTTGGTTTATAGTAAAACTAAACAACATTATTAATAAAGAACATTGATTTTTAAGTGATACTGAGCAAGAGAAGAATTGACAGTCTGGTTACAAACAAAACATAAATAATATGTTGTCTAGAGACTAAAAGTTAATTTTAACAAGCTACAATTTTTGCCTAAGCAGCTTTCTTACTTGCAAGAAACTATCAGCAACTCCAACCCCTCAGGCAGGAGGATCCACCATTCACAGAATCAGAGGGTGCGGTTCCCTTTGTTGGACAATTACAGTAGAATGTCTTTTTGCTTCCCTTCGGTTTCTTCAAAGTCCATTATCTTTGCCTCAAAAGTCAGAAAGACTTCTTGGGGACATTGACTCTAGTCCCTTTCTGTTGCTAGTTAGTTTGCTTTGTTTACCCTATATGTCAGGGGTGGGCAATAATTTTTGACAGGGGACCATTCCAAGATTTTGGAAAGTGGTCAAGGGCTGCACTTCTCTGTGGAGGCGGTGTGGGGTCTAGGATGGAGATTGGGTGTGGAAGGGTGCACAGGTTAAGAGCCTGGGGTGCAGGAGATGGTGTGAGGTCTGAGAGGAAGTTGAGGCAAAGGAGGGGGTTCTGACCCGGGTCAGGGGATTGAGTTATAGGATCAGGGTGGGAGTGGGTATGGGTGCATGAGAGGATTCTGGTCTGGGAGGGAGCTGTGACCTGGGAGAAGGGGAAAATGGGGTGCAGACTACCGAAGGTGTGGATGGTGATTTGGGGCAGCAGAATGGGTTGCAGGGTCTGGGAGGGTGTTTGATTGTTGGAGAGGATTCTGGCCTGGGGGAAGGGCATAGAAGGGGTACAGGGTCTGGGAAGGAGTTGTGATAGGAGGGGGCAGAAGGTTTGGATGGTGACCTGGGGGAGGGAGTTGACTGCAGGAGGGCCTGGGGTGCCAGAGGCAGGCTCTGCCTGGGAGGTGCTTACCTAAGCCAGCAGCCCTGCAGCACCCCAAGGTTCTGCAGCTGGGCTCCTTGATTGCTACAGCCCCAGATCACTTAAAACTGCAGGTTGCTCCCTCCACATGGTTTTGAGCTCCAGGAGGGGGAAGAGACTTGCCCTGCTCCCATCCTCCAGGCCAATCTCTCAGTTCCTACTGGCTGGTTGTTTCTGGCCATGAAGAGCTGAGGATCCTATGTGCCTGAGGGTCCTGGCAGGGTGGTCCGTGGGCCAGATCCAGTGCTTGGTGGGCCGGATCTGACCCTGGGGCCGTATTTTGCCCAGCTCTGCTATACGTAAATGTATTTTCATAATCCTTTGCCTGTAATCAAACCAGTTGGATAAATATACATTTGTCTGTCTAGGGCAGGCTTGATTTGTGCATTGGTTCTAAAATACATTTTAAGAACATACTGCATACACATATGTATACTTCTTTACACACACCCCAAACATACATCATGCAATAGCTGTGATCAACAGATCACTATTTTTTGCAACATCTTACTCAGCACACTTGTAGTACAATAATACTGTATACAATCAGCTGATTTAATTGCTTATTCTTTGGGGACCAGACTCCCTGTTCTCCAGAAGTATCTGGACCCTGACTATCACAGCCGCGCTTGAAAAATCTGGGAATTGTCTGTGGTTGAACTCCACGCTGCACATGTGAAGCACTTAATTTTCCTTAGCAGACATCATGAGTGGACTTGGAGAATGCCACACAGATGTAAACTCTGCTGTGTGATAAGGCAGTAAATGAAAACGATGGATTTATTCAAAAGAATGCTGATCGGATCATCTCACACTCCATAACACTCTTCCCCCCCTCCCCCAAATCTCCTTGCAGGGATCATAGAAATGTGTGGTCTCTATGCGCACACAACTTTAACAAAGTGATGCAGTCATTCTGATAATCCAAAAGAGTACCTTTCTTAATCTTATTTTTTCATTCTGCTTGTCTTTTCTTCAATGAAGCCAAGGAAACTTCATTGCGAAAAACCTCCTAAGGTATCTTAGTGCAGAGCTTCTAAAGAATTTAAGTACACGAATCTTAGGAAATTTCAAAACTAAGGTTCCCATCACAACCAATAGGCAAAACTTTGAACTGATTAGATAGCAATATAGAATATTATGTAGCTGCAAAGGGACTAGAAGAGGTTTAAATTCCACCTGCAATAGTAATCTTAACTTTAGAATTTTGCAAAGTACATGCGGTTGCACTCTGTTTTTTGAAACTCAATATAGCCATTTCTGAAGATTTAAATGATTTGTTTGTTTGGTGTACAAATGTTGGAAAGTTCAGCATAACTCAGAAACAAGCCATTTATAGCACTGGCTCAGTGTTACCTGACAGCAGCCAATCAGCTTCAAGAACGCAGTTTGCAAAACAATAACTAGCTGAGCTCCAGGAACTGTCGGGCCACATTACAGGTATCAGTTAGCAAAACAAAGCAGGAGAGTTTTCTCATACAGTGGAGCACAGACAGAGATTACTGTATAAAGAACAAATTGAAAGGCACTAATAATGCCAATTTTTACTTTTGTTTCAGAACATGTGATCCTGAAACATGAGGTAAGAATTCAATTTTTATTTTGACTTACAAATTGATCATTTACTGCATATGATTGTGTCAGTGCAATAGATATTTTTTTCTGCAGCTAACTTGTATTTATTTAGAATTATGCAAACTCAAGCAGTAGAAGTAACTCCATGTGCTTACAGTAACAATCAGTTATATTAAATTGTAAGGGATTAACCTTATTTTCATTGAGGTTTTTCAGAGTTTAGGATACAGAAGAATGTAGGTTTTCTTAAATTGTAGGGGGAAAATAAACAATATTGTTAATTTAATTCATAATATCACTGATCACAGTTCTCCAGTGCTTTTAGACCAAATTTGGCAGCGGAGATAAAACTATCTTCAGGTAAATTTCAGCAAATTCTACAATAATAATATATTACTATGGACTAATAAGTGTGCAGTTCTTCAGCCAACTGTAAACTGCAAAATTTGCAGTGGAATACTGGCTTTTTATATAACCATATTCTTTCTTAGTGTCACTAGGCAACCATAACATTTGTTTAATATTAAACTGGACAGTAAAATGAACTACTAATGCCCAGCAAAGAATAATGGAAGTCACAGTGAGGTATCTTGCTGTTGTCTTTCCATTTGGTATAGAAAGAAGTAGAAGTCCGACTTCCCATTTTGTAACTTTGACAAAATACAGACTATGTTTTAAACCTAGGACACTTTGTTGCATGTCTAGAACCATTTAGATCAGTGGCTGTAAATTCATTCTGTATTACAGTTATGAGCACCATATAAATGTAATGATGACAATGTTATCTGCTCAGGTTTATGATTGTCTCTTTTTACATGCTGTCCTGCCATTACTCAGGTTGGCAATGAAAACAAATGAAAAATATTAATGTTGGCTGCTAATAAATATTGTTTCATAGTTAAGACCATCTATTCTCAGCCTGCTCCTAGGGCAGTACACATTTTTAGGTACTTTCCATTATCTAATTGCTATTTGGGAATGCATATGTTGAGAGACCTATTTAAATTTCCTTAAAACCTATTGTAAGAATTAATAGAACTCCACTGACAATTGATTTTATTTTACACTACTCACCAGATCAGAAGTGTTATATAAAGGTCTGATATGTTCACTGATGTTAATGTTGTATGATCTAGTGGCTAAATTAATTTTAAAAGGAAATTTAGGACTGAAAATATAAGCCCTCTATACTGGTAAGGTAACAGGTTTTTTAACCCCGGGGTTTGTGGAGAATTTAACGGAGGATGTTAAATGTTAAGATATGTCATGAGTGATTATGGACATGAATCTTTTGATAACTCTTCAATGGCCTGTGTGTAGGAGATAGTGAGTTCAGTCCAGCTCAGTCCCTAGTGGGGAGATGTCCATATAATAAAACAACTCTTATAAGTTTACATTAGTTTGCCCTATTTTGATAGGTTTAAGGTAGGGGGTGGATTTGAACAGGTATAAAGCTACAGGTTGAACCTCTCTGGTCTGGAAACATCCGTGGTCCGGCATGATTTTAGTTAGCTAAATGTCCACTTATCATGGGTGTGGCCAAGTTTCTAAGAGTCCCATAGAGATTCTGGCTCTTATTTAGCTCTAATTTACCCCTAAATGTCTTCTAAGAGCCCAGTAACCAGTGGAAGTGTAGATAATGCTGCTAGATAATTTTGATCTCTGTTGGCCTGGCCAACTCCCTGGTTTGGCATCAATCTGGTCTCGAGGGTGCCGGACTAGGGAGGTTCAATCTGTACTGTTTTTTCTTGAAGGGATCACACATTGTTAGGCTAAAAAAATTCACAGCACTTTGAGGGGGGGAGTGAGCAGTGGATAGCATGTGTTTATACTTATTTTATGGTTAGTTAAAGGATGTCAGTTGCCAGTGCTGTAAACTCACTTTAAAAAGTCTGTTGTATGTGTTCCCTTTAACAGAGACTCCTCACCAGCAGCTTGCTTACTTACCTTCTGCCATGTGCTGTTTGTTTTACATCTGTAATATTTCTTTCTAAACTATCTGTTAAACATGAACATTTTTAAATACCAAAACGATAGCATGGCTTGTTTTCTTAAGTCTTTTGATCATTACACATGCATTCAGTATTGAAGAAGCTATAAACAGACTGCTTATGGTATGTTATCGACAAGGTTGCCAGAAGTGAGTAAAACTACCAAAGATTAACATATGTAAATGGATGAGATCATATTTATCCTAATTATATTTTATTCCTCCTCTTCCCATGTCTCTTCCCCCAACTTGAAATTTTTGTAAGACAAAAAATCCTACTGCTCATAAGGTGTTTTTGTACCTTGTTTTATGGAATTATAGGGCTGGAAGAGACCTCAGAAGGTCGAGTCCAGCCCCCTACACAAAGCAAGACCAGCCCTGTCTAAATCATCCCAGTCAGGGCTTTGTCAAGCCAGAACTTAAAAGCTCTAGGGATGGAGATTCCACCACCTCCCTAGGTAACCCATTCCAGTGCTTCACCACCCTTTTAGTGAAATAGTTTTTCCTAATATCCAACCTAGACCTCCCCCAGTGCAGCTTGAGTCTATTGCTCATCATTCTGTCATCTGTTACTACTGAGAACAGCTTCTTTTCATCCTCTTTGGAACCCCCCTCCCTTCAGCTAGTTGAAGGCTGCTGTCAAATCCCCCCCTTCACTCTTTTCTCTTATGTAGACTAGCCAAGCCGAAATCCCTCAGTCTCTCCTCATAAGTCATGTGCTCCAGCCCCCTAATCATTTTTGTTGCCCTCCACTGGACTTTCTCCAATGTGTCCACATCCTTTCTGAATTGGATGCAGTACTCCAGATGTGGCCTCACCAGTGCCGAATAAAGGGGAATCATCACTTCACTAGATCTGCTGGCAGTGCTGTTCCTATTGCACTCTAGTATGTTGTTAGCCTTCTTGGCTACAACGGCACACTGTAGAATGGTTTTATGTAGCATGTAAAATTGGAGTCTAATTCTGATTTGTGCCATGGTCCCTTTACATGCTTTTGGCAGTATAAAGGGGCTAACGTAATTTGATATGTCTTTAAGGTCCCTTAGCCTGCTGTTAGAATGGTGCAGGTTTTTTGGTAGTTTCCATTATCTACTTACTATTTGGGAGTACATTTGTTAAGAAACCTGTCTAAATTCCCTTAAAACCTATTGGAAGAATTAATAGAACTCCACTGATGATTGGTTTTATTTTACACCACTCACCAGAACAAAAGTGTTATATACGCGTCTGACAACTTTAGTGATGGCAATATTCTATGATCTAGTGGCTAAATACATTTTAAAAGGAAACCTGCTGCCAGAGTGGTGTGTAAGGAATTTAATATAAATGAGAATTAGGTTTTTAAGAAAAGATGGATTTATGTTGCAGAAAATGTGAAGATCTACTGATGATAATGTGATAAGATCAAGTATTCAGTACATTTTTGTACACTTACAGCATTTACTTCTGAGTATTGTTTATACACTTTTCTTTCCTTCAGCTTATGTGATTTTATTGTTATGTAGTTAAATTGTCACATTTTTCAGTTATGCCATAGAAACATTTTGCAACCAACCACCATGACTTCTCTCACAGCTTTCCCCTCACTCCAATCTTATGGCTCCTCTCTTCTCTGTATCCGTGTGAATAAACAATACAGTCTCAATTTAAAAAAAAACTGATTTCACCCTTTGATTTCTGCTTGGCTTGAGTAAAATTCTGTGATTTGCATGAGCCCTTATGCAAGCTACTAGTTAAAACAAGTAGCAGTAGATGACTAACACACAGATACACCTTATTATGTACAGAAGTTCCAAGGGGCCTATGTAAATGCTGAGGTCTGTGAATTTGGTACAAATCATCACTTGCCAAATAATAAACCATTGTGTCTGTGTAGTGTACATGGGATTTTAGAAAACACTAGTTTGCCTAAACCAAACTTTAAAAACTAGGAAAAAAATTTTTACTTCATTTTTTTAAATTAAATGCTCATTTGAGAAATGGAACTAACATTGTTAAGTATAAGAAGCCTTAGTACAGAGAAAGAACAGTGTAACGCTCCCACCCTATTGGAATTGCAACTTCATTAGCATGTATTCTTGCTGCTGTTCTACTCCTGGACCTTCCCTTAGGCAGACAGTGCCAAACCATGTGGTGTATTTTTCCACTGTAAAATAGGTTGAGTTATTATAGTCATTTTCACATGTAATCTCAGTGGACTTTGAACCCAGATGTCAAGATATGACAGGCTAACACATAAACCTTTTCTGTCACTTGCAAAATAAGCATTAATGCATGATATTTCTGCCTAAAACCCCATTGCAGGATGGAAGAGAACTTTTAAAAAATTAGTTACAGCTAGTAGACTATCAGAATGCAAATAGTACAGTACACTAGATTGTCAGAGTTACAAATATCTCAGAATGGGAGTTGCCTGTAACTCTGAAACATGCATGACTCTGAACAAAATGCTATGGTTGTTCTTTCAAAAGTTTACAACTCAACATTTACTTAATACAACTTTGAAACATGAATATCCAGAAGAAAAAATGCTGCTTTCCCTTTCTTTTTTAGTTTATCTTTAACAAAGTACTCTACTGTTCCAATTCATCTGATGAAGTGGGTTTTACCTACGAAAGCTAATGATTCTATATATATTGGTTAGTCTCAAAGTTGCCATAGGACTACTCATGGTACTACTCGTTGTTTGCCTTTTTCCTCCCCTCTGCTGCTGGCTGATTTGCATATTTCTGGTTCCAGATGAGGTGTGTGTGTGGTTGACTGGTCAGTTTGTAACTCTGTTTGTAACTCTGAGGTTCTCCTGTACTTAGAAATCGAAAGCAGTTTATGCATGCCTTTGACTTGTATTTTTGTATGCAGAAACGAACCAATGGAATTCGAAAAAGCTCCAGACACCCGGACTCAGGTTTGTTTTATACCTTTTATTAATTACTATTTTAATTAAAAAGGCAAAAGAACGCTCCAAGCTACATCAGCATGCTGTCTCGTGATCAGCCTTATACTGCACGCAGTATTGAGAACACTTTGCATATTTTTCGGTTGGGAGCCTACAGTCTTTCAGATCTTAATCAATTTCTTGGCTGTGTTTTCAAAAGTGTGGTCATATGACTGACTGAATGTTTTTAACATGCCTTTTTTTTTATAAGCAGTGCTTGTTCAGCTTTGTTTGCATACTGAAAAGCCTCTGGGCTTTTAGTTAGCAACTTCTCCACCCTTGTGTACTTTGCTGTTAAAAACAGGTGGCTACTTATACACCCTAGTCTAATCCTGCAAAGTTTTTAGTACAGTACTTTCAACCTGCCTTGGGAGTTATCAATGCCTTGCTGGACTGGACTTAAGCTACACTCCAAAAAAGGAATAAACAGTCTGTAATTTTACATACCCCTTTGTAAAGGCTGTATTTTTTCACTATAGTTTATTACAGAATCGTGGACACTAGCTCTTAAGAAAATTAAGGGGCTAATTATAAACTATGAACTAACTGGGTAAGCATCTCCTCTGGAGACCAATTATTTGTCTGAATAAAATATTCAGTAGTTCTTCTGTATAACACTGAATGTTATGGTAATTATGCTTTTGTCCTTTTGTATGTTTCTTTTTACAGTTCGGAGGTTTGTTACACATATGGTAATAGTTATTCTGAAGAAAATTAAATTATAGATTGTTAAATGTTTCTAAAATGTTTCAGGTAAAATGTTACCTGACAATAGTTTGAGTAGAACTCTAAATGGACTAGCAGCCTCACACCTGGTAAAGAGTTCGCTGAAGAGTAAATGTGGTGGTTAGGTTGCCATCACTGCCCGTGTTCAGCTGCACAGGTTCTAAATGTTATAAGTACTTGAAACAATCCACACCCTTCTTAGTCATGCCTGATTATGAAATGTTTTAAAAGACACAGTTGCTTTGTTGCCTCTAGCCAAAACCTGCTTCACTATGCACTTAGGTCAGACTCTATGCTTCTTACTCAAGAAACTGAAGTGTGTGAGTTCTCATTTAGGTCCTAATTTTTAAACTTTGCTGCCTACTGTTAGTCTCTCAAGTCCCTCTGTAAGTACCTAGCTATAAATAACTGGAGCATTTTCAGCTCCCATTGAAGTCAGTAATTGCTGAGATCCTTTATTCAGGGAGATGGCTGAAACTGTGTTTAGATGCCATTGAAGTCAGTAGGACTTAAGCACATGCTTAAGTGCTTTCCTCAGTCAGGGCCTAAGTTATTAAGGCTCAGATTCTCTGAGTACCTTATCCTGCAGGTGGTCTGTTGAAGTCCATTCAACATTAGTATTGTTAGCAGATTCTGGTCCATAATTGTTTTTGGAAATTTGGGACTTCTGAAAATCATTCTACTATTTCTTTTGGTAATTAAGTTGGTGTCCTCTGGTTGAAAATGTTGGTCTTAAAGATTCATATTTCTGCAGAATTGATTCTGCTATTACATATTTTTTAAATCAGAGCTAAAAAATAAATGAGATACTACATATTGATCACATTTTTCTGCATAAGCAATGTGGCTGTTTTCAGATTAAGTCATAATGGCAATGTCAGCCCCTAACTTATTTATATCTTTCTAGCACACAGTCGTGGGGGCTCCTGCACTAATATGGTCAAGTTAATTGGTAACTTTGACCTTGACTATCACTTTCAAGAGAAATATCACAGTACTGCTTAAAACAAGGTCTGAAATCCTTGGTATCTTTTGTATTTTCTAAATGTACCTGTTGACTGGTGGCATTTCTGTCAGATAGCAGCTTCTCTCTCTCAGGGCAATGTGCAATCAAGAAAACAACACTTGTACGAGAGAGATCAATTATTTCAGACATACATTACTGCAGTGGCGCTAGTATCTTTTCAAGAACACAGGATCATAAATCTCTGAAAATCCTAGCAGTACTGTGATATTTCTCTTGAAAGTGATAGTCAAGGTCAAAGTTACCAATTAAACTTTAATATACAGGCTTTAAAAATTGCCTAGTCTGGTACGTGTTTGAGAGGTCTGATGCGTTTTGCTCTCCACAGTGTTGTGATTCTGAAGCATTGGCCTTATTTTTTAAAAAAGCTAATATTTGCTATTTTTCACCAGCATGTCCTTGCAATGTCCAAATATTAGTTGGTAACTGCAATAGATTCTCTGCAATCATTACATTTTTGGCAAAGCCTTGGTTTTAGCCTGCTTCTAGTCTGTATCCAGCCATTCTTAAACTAAGAGACATCTCTAGTAAGCCCCAACCTATATCTGTTCCAGGTATATCTGTGGAGTGTAAGGAACAAATTCTGCCCCTGGTTGCTAAGCAAGTCCCAGTATCAAGGATTTAAATCAATTCAAGGGAGGGCACTGTGGGCAGATTATGGCCCTAAGTAGCAATTAGCTGGATTAAAGTAACTCTGCTTCTTTTTTTGACAAAGCTCTTATTTTGGTGAAGAAAGATCCCTGCCCTAGCTGTGGTACCCTATTAGCAATAAATGGGTAGTGTCTGTTTTTCTCTTTAGATATTGCTAGGGGGCTGTGCCCCCTGCTCGCTATGCTTGCCAACTCCTCTCTCTCTGGGAAGAGGCAGCTCCGGCTCTCCCCCGGGGGGCCAGGGAGAGCCAGGCAGAGGTGTGGCAGCCCTGGCCTGCCCCCTATCTCCCTGGCTGCTGGGCCGAGTTTGGCCCAGCCCCAGCTCCCTCCCCCCCAGCCACCAGGGGAGAGGGTCAAGGCCGGGCCAACCCTAGCTTCCTATCCCTGGTAGTTGGGCAGGGCCGAGGCCACACCAGCCCCGGCTCCACCATGCCCCTCCCCCCCAGCCGCACCAGCTCTGGCTCTCTTCCCCAGGTTACTGGGGAGTGGGGGACCAGGCTGAGCCCTTGCCAGGCCCTGCTCTCTTCCCCCAGCTGCTGGGGGGGAGGAGAAGGTCCGGGCTGAGGCCTTTCCAGTCCCAACGGAGTGGGGCGAGGTCAGGTGGGACAACCCCAGCTCCCCTCCAAGCATAGGAGAGGAGAGAGGCCGGGCCGTAGCAGCCCAAGCTCCTTAGGACTGGGGAAAGGGGAAGGGGAAGGCAAGTAGGACATCGCTATGTCATCCCACAGGAACATTTTTTATATATAGAGAGAGAGTTATGATTACATTGGGCAAATTCATTCTAGAGTCAGTTATTCACTTACCATTCTGTTGCATAAGAGGGAAGGATACTAGAGGAGAGATCAGACGGGCAGCAGATAAGGAAGGAGAAGTGGGTAAAAGCTACAAGAACCATCAGAAAGGAAGTGCACCTAGAACTGTGGAAATGGAAAGCCAAAACACACCGTCTACTATTAGATTCTTTACCACGCCCAGGAGCTTCCCCTTATGAGTCCAATTGAGGATGACCTTCAGAGTGGACTACCCACAGCTTTTAAGAAGTGCCAGGTTTAGGACAATCATCCTCCTTATTTTTCTGCAGTTCTCATAACACTTTTGTTGGTGGCTTTACTAGCATGTGCATATCTATGAAGAAGGCAAGAATTTGGTCCAATGTTTTCAATTTTCTTTATAACACAGAAGATTAAATAAACGTTTGTACCAAAAAGGGATTTAGTCTGTGATTTAGGTTTTCATGAATTTTTGCCTAGAATGGGCAATCTGAAGTGATCATTCTAATTTTTGCATTCTGAAGAGGGACCCTACAAACATTTATGCCTATGCTTTAATTTAAGCACGTGCATTAGCTGACTTAATTGACTGTAGGACTATTGACATGCTTCAAGTTAGACATACGCATGAGGATTTATATGGCTTATTTTGATAAAAATGTGCATTCTGCTGAACATCTGTAATGTCCTCTAAATAGCTTGCTTGCAATACACAATTATTCTATTAGATATAGAAGTAGTAGATTTTAAGTTTCCCAGAAGTCTCCTTTTATTTCCTGAAATAAATAGTACTAAAATATAATATATTCACTGTTTGGTGTTTTTAAAATAGGTTTACCATTAACATTTATGGTGATACAAATATTGGGACTTTAATTTATAAAACTGTAAAAACATTACATGTCAGTAGGATAAACTTGGCAAAAACAGGAATAGTAAGAGTAAAATCTGTCATCTTCAAATGGTTAGATGTCCTGACTTAATTGTTGCCTGTTGCTAGGCATTGGCTTAGTTGTTGCATGCACTGAAATTGCAGCTAAAGCCACATTCTATTTAACTATCGCTTTTTGTTACAAATACTAATTTTCTGCGTATCTGGATGATCCTCTCATCTGCAGGCAAAAATGTGAAAGCCCTTGAATTGCCTGGGTGGTTGCTGCATATAGACTTGTGCCATAAACCCCCAAACACTACACAACCCATTACAGGGAATTAGCTTATTTCAAACAGAATATCACTCACAGTTAGGTGGTCTCATAAGACACTCATAAGCATATCTGTGCCTCTTGGGGAACACAGCGGTCTTCCTCGGGGTACATCAGCTCCTCTGTTTTCCTAGTTTTACAACAGGACACAAAAAAGGCACTAGTGAAGTCAGTACAAACTACCATTTCATACTGATAATTAGATTTGTCTACACTAAATGTAAGCAAAGGTGAAAATAAGCCGATGTGCCCTAGTGTGGCACCCTGGTCAGAGACTGGCTGGCAGGGGAGGCACTCTGGATACTGCCAGCATCCTGGATTGTATGGCCATGGTGCACCCTGGCTCCAGTCGCGGCGCTTGGGCAGCCAGGCAGTATGGCCCCCACTGATCCAGCCTGCCTTGGGTATCCTGTGGTTGGGCGCCATGGTGGCCACACTCCTGGCTCTGAGCTCCCCACCACCCTCCCCAGCCCTGACTCCTGCACCCTCTACACCCATGCCCTGAGACCCTCCTTCCCTGCCTTTACTCAAGCACCCCCAACCCTCTGCCCCAAGCCCCCAGCACTGCATCCCATACTTAAATAGACAGTACTCGTAAGAAATTCCTCACTGTCACCCCTCAATATAAGTACAGTATTTATATTCCAATTGATTTATTAGATGGTAAAAATGAGAATTCAGTTTTGGGGTAACAGGGTGCTGTTACACTATTTTTGTATGATTTTGTAAGAAAGTAGTTTTTAAGGGAGGAGATACTTGGGATAGGCAAAACAAATCAGACTGCTGAAAGAGGTGCAGTAGTTTAGCAAGGTTGGGAGCCACTGTCATAGGAACACCAAACATAAGATCTTAGCAAACAGCATCCAATAACAAATAGCCATAACTGAAGACAAACACCCACTGCAGTCTGTGGCTGGCAAGAAGCAGGTCAGACTTAGATCTGTCAATATTATCTACATGTTGATGACCTCTTGGTTTGATTGTTGCAGCTCATTACAGGTAGGAATGAAGTCATATGCCCTGCAAAAGCTATAACTGGTGCAAAACCCGTTTGGTTATCAACCTAGGTGATTGTGAACATGTTATCATCATGCTTTCCACAGAGTATAGAGTCCAGTTCAAGGTCTCTGATATTCAAACCCTGCAAAGCCACACTGAGGGATAAAATAATCAATCTTACTCCTCTGTGCACCCAGCACTTCCCATGCCTAGAAAAAATGGGCAGAAGTAAGTTGGGATTTGGTGGAACATTAGCTTTCTCCATCTTATTGCTGGGGAATGGCTACCCAGGGTTGAGAGTTCAGTCCTTGAGGGGGCCATTTAGGGTTCTGAGGTAAATCTGTCAGGGATGGTGCTTTGTCCTGCTTTGAGGGCAGGGGGCTGGACTCAATGGCCTCTTAAGGTCCCTTCCAGCTCTATGAGAGGGTATATCTCTGTATGTTATTAAATCTTCCCAACTCTTGCCTGCACAGTTCAGCTGTTGTGGTAGGGTTGTGAGTTGTAGAGCCCTGCAAATCTGAGAGTATCCACATCTGTGCATACAGTTGTGGATATGGATACAAAATGTTACAGACCAGCAATAAAATACAAGTACCTGTAAGCAAAAGGAAACCTGCAAAGAAACTGTGTATAGGAGAGTGACTGTATGTCATAGATTGTATATCATACTTTGAGGGCCTGGGGCATTGCCCTTCCCCCCCCCCAAAAAAAAATCAGAAATAGCCACACAGGACACAGAGAGGTGCTTGTTTTACAATGTTTTATTATTTAAATATCAAGCAAGCCTAAGGGCAGATTCAGTCTCTGTTGTGCTGATGTAAATAGATTGTAACTCTAGAAGACTTACCCAGTGTTGCTTAGGTCCTTAACTCAATTAATTTTTATTTTTCTTCATTTAAATCATTGCTCTTGAGTGGGGATGTGGATGAGGGGTTCAGTCTGCAGGCTGCCCCGGGGAGAAAAGACTACCCCAGTCCTCTCTCAGCACAGCAGCTTAGGGCCAGGTAAGAAGTGCCTGTCAATAGCCACTGCAGCTCCTGCCCTTCAATGTTGATGACTAATTGGCTCCTGAATGACTGAGGTCTTCATATCACAGCTCTGAAAGGTACCTAGTTCCCTATAATGTAGTCCTGATCTAGGGATATAAAAATGCATTTAAAAATGTAACTACATAACTGCTAAAAATCATAGCGGTTACACGCGCTGTGGTCTCTGCAGTACAAAGCTGAAATATGCTTTATACTACAGAGCACACAGCAAAGCTGCCTCCCTTGAGTCAGGCTGGCAAGGGCCACTGCTGGCCTCTCTCCCCAGGAGGAGTCTTCAGCCGGTTCACCATGACCCAATGTGTAACCTGTGGAGAGAGGGAGAGGGTGACCAGGTCTTCCACGGCTGGGGGCTGTTTTGGTGGGTCCCACGGGGCTGGAGTAGCTCCAGTCCCTACTGGTTAACTGGAACAGGTAAGCCTCACCTGTTAATGGTGAGGCTTACCGGGTAACCTTTTATATCTCTATCCTGAACCTGCACTACATTAATGCAGATTAGGTACTTTTTACAGCACATTAACTGAATGTACACAGGGCAGTTAGAATAGAATGTTAGAATGCTTGACAAATCACACCCCTTTGCCAGCATTGTGAAGTTAAGCCCTTAGAAAGCACTGGAAGTATTCTTCAGGTCTTTACAGTGGCCTTGAAGAATTCTTAAACTTCTATGGTTTTTGGGCGAATAGACTGGCTAATACTTAGCTGCTATGATAAAAACAGATCGTATATACCTGCATGTTTTACTGGAGATATTTTTTCACACTATGTAGCTTTAGACTTGCTAAATTTTCACTAAAATGTTTCATTGTAATAAACTATTGAATCTGAAAAAGGCTTTGATGCACTTTTTAAGAAATGTGTTTAACTTTTATCCTACATACGGTATTATTCAATGTCATTCCAATATTTCTATTTCTGTGTTATTTCAAAGTGATATACCATGAGTATGCTTGGATCACAGCTTCATTTTTCTTTGTCCTAAGGTACAGCTAGAGGTGGATGGAAATTTTCCAATGGCATTTTTTTCAGTGAAACAATACAAATTTGTAGAAACTAAAACAGTGTTTAGGAAAGGGACAGCTTCCACAGATCTTCTGATTTGAAAAAAATATATTTATGAAAAGGCTTCAGCTTTGTTAAAATGTCTTCTTCTGGCATTTTTTGAAATTAAAAGTTTTGGTTTTTTGCTTTGGAAAAATCTTTTTGTTCTGAAATTTTAATTTATATTAAACATAAGCTAAAATATAAGATGCCAGACATGGACCATAATATTTCAATGAACCCAGTCTAATTTTTTTATCACTGGATTGTGAATATGTTTGAGATTTCAAAATTTTGTCCCCGTGTTAGGAGGTGAATGTTTTAAAATATAAAACTCTGGATGGGAAAATTATTTCCTGCCCAGCTATTGAGGTACAACACTCAAGTTCAAGGACTATATGTTAGGATATTAAACTTTGTACTCTGGTGTTTGTATCTGGACCTTCAGGTGTAATTATGCCAGAACATAGTAAGGTCAGATGTCCTGTGGCTTTAGAACTGTTTTAATGAATTGTTCAAGATTCTTATCCCTAAATTGGGGCTATAACAGTAGATTTCCCAAAACAGTTCTGTAACTGTGGTGTGTCTTTCAAACTGCAAAAAAAAAAAAAAAAAAAAAAAAAAAAAAAAAATGGAGATATGATGTATAGCACCCTAGCATGCTGAACCCATCAGGTGAAATAGTATCTGATGTCTTACCCAATTAAGTATTGAGCTAGATGGCTGTTGAGCTATATAGTGATTTCTCATCTCAGGGATTTATTTCAGTATAGTTATTGGTTTAATGTCACTGCTACATTTGCTGTAGCAAGAATGCTAATAGTAGGGAATCCTTCTCCCCAGAATAATGTATTATGACGGCACAAGAACCAACTTGTCTAATGCCAAGATATTTTTCAGTAACTCGTGTCCCAAGGCAAAAGCAGGAGTGTGGTGTGTTTCAGTCTGGGTTCTTTGTCCTTTATTTGGATAAATGTATTTTAAATAAAAAGTCATGGTATGGTGGGTGTTATTTACCTGAGCACATTGGATATATTTTATTTCAATATATTTGCATGGCTCTCATGTGCCTTGCTGTTATTTACATTTATGTCTATCATAGTCATTTGCAGTTTGCCTGTTGCTTTAGTATCTAAGTAGCGCTCTAGAATGAACAGGAAAACATAGCTATTAGGGTACACCCTTTTCTTTTAATTAAACGTCAGAAGACCCAGATGCCAACATATTTATTTTGTCAAACTCTTTCATTGTTCTCTGGTTAGATTGCAAGGTTAGGCTGTGGAGGGTCGTTAATTTACTCATAACTTCTTGGATGTACTAGTTGGAACCATTACTTTGCTTCAGTCCACTAACAGATTTTCCTTTCCTCCCAAGGAACGCAGTGTTCCCCCAAACCCTTCTTTTATGTCCATAAGCAAACTGTATTAACCTAGACTGTTCAGTGCAAACTGTGGTTCTGAAAAGGGAGTTGACACACAGAAGTAGCGAGGGAGAGGGGGGAGGAAATTAAGGTACAAATGGACATATTTGTCTAATCAATGAAAACCATAGAAAATTGCTTTTTGCTTACAGAGCAAAGGACAATATACTATTCTATAAAATGAAAGTATTCAAATTAAAGAGTTCCTGGGGTTCCTTTTATTCAGTTTTAGACAGACAAGGTGCATGAGCTGATACCTTTTATTGGACCATCTTCTGTTACTAAAACAGACAAGCTTTCGAGCTGACACAGAGCTCTTCTTCAGGTCTGGGAAGTACGTGCAGAGTGTCACAGCTAAATACAAGCAAAAGTCATTAACACATACTTCATGGAACCATTTAAGGTGAAGTTGCCTGTTAACACTTCTCCAGTCACTGCAGTGGGAGGAGCTTAGAAGGATTTTTAAATGACCTGTAACTCCAGAGTCTCTATTCTGCCCTTGGTTTTTAGTAGCTAGCGAAGTTGTGGGTTTAAGATATGAATTTAATAAGTGTTGTCAGCAGGCAAGTAGAAGAGTATGGCATGTCAGTCAAACAGGGACTTGTAAATCTCTCATTAATTTGC